AAGCCACCACTTCCTGAGCACCCTCTAGGGGTCAAGAGTGGAATTTGACGTGTTTAGTGCTTTGCCACATTTCATCCTTGCTGCCACCCTTGTGGAGGAGATGTTATTATTCCTGCTTCGGAGATGAGGCCCAGAAGGATTAAAATCCTTGTTCCATTGGCAGAGCTGGGACTCAAACCCACACATGAGCAGAGCTGGCTATCAGGGGGCCTATGGCAGTGTTAGGGATTCAGGCTTTAGTCTAAGAGCTACAGGTCACACTGTGGCCCCAGGTTTGCACTGCAAATAGATTCATCCTCCAGCTGAAGTGTGGGGAAGGGAGTGGAGTGGTTGTATGTGGAGACCCATCAGTAAAGTGCCTGAGACAGACAGGCAGCAGTCAGAGAAGTGGAAGGAAAACCATGGTGCTCACTCTTCCTACCCTGAGGCATGCGGATTCAAGACTATTTGACAGGGACGCCAGGGTGGCTGGGTTGGTTCAAGTGTCGACTCTCGGTTTTGGCTCAGGTCATCATTTTGCGGCTTGTGGATCTGAGCCCCATGTTGAGCTCCATGCTGACAGTGTGGGGTGTGCTTGGGACTCTGTCTCTCTCTTCCTCTGTCTCTTCTCCTCCCCAAATTGCACACACATTCTCTCTCAAACTAAATAAATAAACTTAAAAAAAAAAAAGACCAATTGACAATCATTTCCATGGAAACAGGAGGACATTTTATCAAAGTATGGACCATGGACCCTGCGTCAGAATCACCGCATGTGCTTTTAAAATTAGATTCCTGGGATCCGCCTCAGATTTGCTGAATCAGAAGCTCTAGAAGAAAAGCCTAGAAATCTGTATTATTGAGAGCTTGGGATTCTTGAGCTCCAAGTCAGAGTACCTGGGTTTTCATCCAAACTCTGTACCTGCTGGGGTGCCTGGGTGGCTCAGTCAGTTGAGCATCTGACTTTGGCTCAGGTCATGATCTCACAGTTCATGGGTTCAAGCCCCACATCAGACTCTGTGCTGACAGCTCAGAGCCTGGAGCCTGCTTTAGATTCTGTGTCTCCCTCTCTCTCTGGCCCTCCCCTGATCACACTCTGTCTCTCTGTCTCTGAAAATTAAATAAACATTAAAAAACTAAAAAAACAAAACAAAACAAAAAACCTCTTTCACTGCAGTGAGTCTAGGAGACTTACCTGTTATTTGTAAAACAGGTATTGTGCTGGTGTCCACCTCATATGGATGTTATGAGGGTTCAATCAGTTAACACATATAAATCCTTTAAACTATGTTCCAGGACAAGAGTAAGAGCTCAATTAGTATCCAAGTACTACTGAAAGGAATAATGCAAACTAAAGGTCAACCATTAGATGCTCAGGCTCCATTCCACTCAGGAACTCAGATGGAGGGGGATTATATTCTCCATCTTAGGTGAGGCTAGTCCCACAACCTGGGTGTACCTCCATTAACCGTGGCAGCCAACGTTTCCATGGCAGCATTGTAGCTGCTATGGGTTGAATTGTTTTCCCCCCAAAGGCATTGAAGTCCTAACTCCTGGTGCCCGGGGATGTGATGATCAAGTTAAAATGAGGTCATTAGGATGGGCCTTGATCCAAAATGACTGTGTCCTTGGTAAAAGGAGAAATTGGGACACAGGGACAGACATGGACAAAGAGAAATTGATGTAAAGACACAGGAAGAACACCATCTATAAGCCAACGAATGCCTGGAGTCCCCAGAAGCTCAGGGAGAGAGTTAGAGCAGATTCCCCTGCACAGCCCTTAGAAGCAACCAACCTTGCCAACACCTTGATTTCAGTCTTTGAGCCTCCAGAACTGTGTGACAATAAATTTCTATTAAGTCAATTATAACAACTGTTTTAAATGTGTTTGTTACAGCCTCCCTAGGAAATTAATACCTCTGTTGACATAGAATGGGCAGTAACTGGCCTCTAGAACCGGAGAAAGAGAGATGAATGACTGTTCCCAAGAGATAAGCCCCAAATTCCTGAAATTTGGATCCTGAATCTGGCCTGCTGAGCACCAGCAAGGGCAAAAGCTCTTCTGGAGACAGTATAAGAGGTCTAACACTTATACTGATAGGGACAAGGCAGTTCTCAGTTATTCCCTCAGGTGTTCATCCCCTGGGGCGTGAGGAGGGTGAGTGTCGTAAGGACCCCAAGCCTCTTTCTCAACTGTGCAGCTATGCAATTTGTTTCATGATGACTGGGGTGTACTCAGCAGCCCCATTAGCCTGCTGCCCACAGAATGCTGACAATGGAAACCTTTGGCAGCTGGTTTTCCACAGCATAATTCACACGGCAGCAGCAAGTGGTTGCACAAAAGCAAACACAAAAGCCCCCATGCCCTGGGATTTCAGCTTTATGTACATTAAAAGTAGTTGGCTTTCAGCAAAATCTCTGCATGTCTACACTGGCTCTGATAGGCTGTGCACCTGACAAAGGGTCAGTTCCCATCCCCAACTTGGTTAGGTGTGTGTGTGTCTGGGAACTCTGTGCCACACAGAACCCCAGAATTTAGGTGCTGAGTGGTGGGGGAGCTATGCCACCCCATGGGACTTGTCCATACTGTATGGGATTCTGAGGACGGGACTGTCTACAGGCAGAGCCTGAGAAACCAGAAAGAAGGAAGGCCAAAAGCAGTCATGGCACTCCAGACTCTTCATGATTCCTCTCCAAATATGGTTCCATCTCATCTTCTCTCTCACATTAGGCTCCAAAAAAACTGAACAATGGTTTTTTTCCTGAGTTCAAATCTTGTCTTTATCATGTACCTGCTTTGTGAGCTTGGATACAACACTGAGTCTCAGTTTCCACCTCTGCAAAATGGAAGACTTGAGATAAAATGTTCAAAGGGCATTTGGAGTGCTTAACACAAAGTCAGAACTCATTGGTAGCTATTATTGATCATCTTTAGCTTGTTCTTCAATAATCGAATCCAATAATACTCTGTCTATAAATAACACTGCTGAGTGTTGACAGAATTAGCAAAACAAACAAATAAATAGCAATTGACTCATTCAACCTAGCTTCACAGTTGCTTCCCATGTCCAACACTTATACTGTAAGAGGGTAAAGAGTTGTTATCTGGTATCTAGTATATAGACAATGTAGACTCTATGCAGCTTCTGTTCTGAGCACGGGACCTATTCTGATAGCAGAGCAGAGTGAAGGTCAGAGGAGAGAGGCCATTCCCAGCATCCCCACCCTTCACTCACCACACACACACACACACACACACACACACACACACGCATGCATGCATGCACATACATGCACATACACAGTCATATTCAAGTGTCTTGCAAATTCATTTCTCCCCTCCTCTTGGAAGAACTGACTTGCTGAAACACATGGCCCCCAAATTATAGGTGCATGATTGGATTAATACCAGTGTTACAGAAATCAGCAGCCACCTGAAAAGACCTCTGTAAGTAATCGCATTCTCCCTTCTGTCTTTATTACAATAATGTAATATAAAAATAACGATAATCAGTCAGAAGCGCAGTCTCTAAGTCTTGCAATCTGATTTATCCTGTCTCTAACTGTCTTCAAGATTCTGGCTGTCTCAGTCAGGGGAGCCAGACTTCAGGCTGCTTTCTTTAAGCACCATGGCCCCGGGGCCTGGAAAGGAAGGGGTCTTCATATCAGGGATGCACTGAGTCCTTTGACTCATGTCAGAGAAAACCCACTTCAAGTCTCAACAGGGTTTTCTTTTCCCTCCACATCCTCTGAGCAAGGGCACATGGCCTCGAGTTCCCTTGATAACTTCTTCTCTACCTGCTATCTGCCATAACTGATTTTTTTAAGAGTTAGAAGGTGGGACTGAAGTGTGTATTTCTTTAACTACTACCATGCTAATCACATATGATCCCTAAAAGATGAGTACTCCTGTCTTTGCTTCATTTCCTGCCATTGCCACCAAATGAGTCACCAGGTCCAAAGGTGACCAGAGACAGGCTGCCTGTCTCGCATTTGGATTTCAATCAAGACCAAGATGCAACTTAGCCTCCACAAAGAAGATACAGCAAAATTTCCTCACTAGAGGGCAAATAATCCTCAGCCTTAGAGTACCCACACAGCAACCTTCAGCCAAAGAAATGTCTGGTTGGGGTAAGGAGCCAGTCACTCCTTTAAGAAGGCCCTGTGACCACTCTTCTGTTGGCATTTATACCCTCCTGGACAAAACCACCTCCCCTGGAGACTCAGGCCCTTCACCTGCCAGCCCTAGAGGTAGGAGGCTCTAGAGCAAAGAAAAGGTAGGTTTTCAGGCTCAGCTTCCCAGACTGCTGGCCTGACCTTAAGCTTGCTTGCAGGGGTCCGTCCCTGTACCTTTTGCCAGTTGACATTCAACTCAAACTTGAGGCTCATTTCCCCTTCCCCTTCTGCAAATTCCTTAGTCAACCTGCAAAACCCCTAAATGACACCTCCTCTGAGAACCTTTCTGGGTTTTTCCAGATGACTTAGCAATCCTTTTCTTAGCCTTGCATGGAGCATCCCCTCATTCTGTGGCTGATTTGGACATACTGCAATTGTTTTCTTTTGTGGGTCTCCCCATGTGGCTCTGAGGTGGCCTAAGGCAGGGGCCCTGTCCTTCCATTTGTGTCTCCACAGCCGAGGGCAGGGCTTGGCACAGAGCAGGTCTTTAGCAAATTTTGTTGTGTGCTCGCTGCATGAACATGGAATAGTAAATGCACAAGTAACAGAGAGCAGAAACTTTGGGCCGGGTGGTGATGAATGAGGCCACCAGGCTGTTTTTTCATTTTAATGTTTTAGAGCTGCCACACTTTCTCTGTTTATTCAGGTCACATCCAGGAGAATGAGTCATTTCTCAGTGGCTGGGGTGGAAGACTGCTTTGGCTCATACTAGAAAGACTTTCTGTAATAGATGATAAGCAATGACTTTATGATAATGCTTCCTCCCTTTGGGACAAGATTTGCATGTTTCTCCCAATGCACTTTATATGCAATGTCTCAATCAGGATGGGATACCCCTCCAGGGATAAGAATGTCTTCATTTTGTGGATGAAGAAACTGAGGCCCAAGAAGTTAAGCAGCTGGAATGAAAGTCACATGGTGAGCTAAGATAAAGCTGAAATGAGGCTCCTACCCCTGCCTCTTTTGTTATACTTTCCATGACACCAGTCTGCCCCTCTTTGATCAACCTGACATAGCCAGATGTAACACCCGGGTGTTGTTTCTTTATCTGATCTGCTTATAACAATCTCAACAGCAGGCTGGATGTAGAGATGCAAGTACTTCTGGGGCTGGTATTTCTGCCCTAATGACTGTCTAGAGGGCTGGTCTGGTGACCTCACCAACCATATCTCTGATTATAAGTCGGGCTTTCTTTGTGTTTCCCTCAGTAATACCCACTCATAGTGAAATTTCAAGCTGACTCACCAAAAAACATTATTGTATGTCTCCTCTCTGCTCAATACTGTTGGTGGCCATGATGAAATCGGGCAGTGGGGATGAGATACCTAGTGTGGTAGGGGTCCAGGGAAGTAGCAGAGAATTTCACTGGGATGAGAAGGCAAGGGACTGGATAGTGACAAAGAGGAAACAGGGATGATGAGAGTAAAATTATAGTCAGAGCAGGCAGGGACTCTGGGCAAAGCTTGCACGCCTTGTCAAAGCATTTGGGCTTTATTTTCTAGATAGCCGGGGCCCACGGAGTCATAGAATGATGTAATGTTAGAGTTGAGAGGACTCTCACAAATCTGGTCCATGCATCCATATTATAGATGGACAAACTGAGGCCTAGCAAAGGAATGTGACTTGCCAACAGTCACATGGTGAATTATTGGCAAAGTAAGTGTACAATCAGAGCTCTGAGTTGGAAGGTCATCACTGGTGGAAGCATGGAAATGGATTGATCAGTAAAGAGATGGATGAGGTGAATGATGGAAAGGGGGTCAGAGAGATGTGGAAACAGACCCCTAAAGGAGGAGCCAGTAGAGAGGAATGGCCAACATCCAACGAGCTCCACCACCTTCAGAGTCAGACTCAGTGAGTGGCAGGTACTCCATAGTGTCCCCTAGCCTAGTGAGTGAATGACCCCTCCTGAGAAGGAAATCTGAGATTAAAAGAAGTTTGATAACTTGTCTGAGCCTCAACCTGGCTTTGAATACAGGTCAATAAGACACAAAGATCCCGAGCTCTTTCTTCTCAACTGAGCCTCCCTAAATTTTACAAGGTCCTGCTAAGATCTTGAGTGAATAAACAGGGACAGAACTCCTCCATCCAGCCCACTGACAATCCACTGCCTGCTCCTCTCCTTGTTGCTCCTGTCTCATGTCTATTTCTTGAAGAAGGGCAAAGGGATCCTTTGTGTACACTTTCTCACCAGAAAAGACAAGAAAATTCTCCTGGGAGATACACAGACAGAAAACCCAGTGTCCACCATGTGAAAGGAATATAGATTGGCAGAGGCAATCACAGACTCTGATCTTCTTTATTGACTCAGCACCTTCCATGTTGAGAAGATCAAGCCCACATCAATGGCATTTCTCATCCATTAATTACAGCCAAATATTCATCCCAGCCCAATGGACCCTCACTCTATGTGCTTTCTGTTCAGAAACACAAGCAGATTTGGTGGGAAAAAAATCAATTGAATTTCTAACTGTTTGCAGAACACAGGCAAGAGCAAATCCCTTGCTGAGCACCTGTCTCTTTGCTTTCTGTAGGGTTCAGTAAATGCACCTTGATGATGCCTATACTCAACATGGAATTCTTCGATTCCATGGCTCCCCACTGTTGCTTACCTTTAACCCAGCCTAGCCTTACCTCTACCTTTTCCAATCCCACAACACTGAACAGTCTAGTGTCCTCTGTGGACATTTCTTGTCTCCTTGTCTTTAAACTTGCCATTCTCTCTTGGAATGCGCTCCATGTCTCCCACCCTCTGTCTTTACCAAGCATCAAGACAGCTCAGGTTACCTGTCACTGTTTTGGCCCCTAAGGCCATGAGCTTTCCTCTACCACTGCATTGATCACTGTTCTGTCTCTGTCTATCTGTTCTGTCCTTCCCTAGGACAGGGGTTGGACTTATTCACATCTGCCAGACTAGAGCCAAGTACATTATTGGAAAACAGTGAACACATTCTTGAAGAATAAACATATAAATAAATGAACAAATGGACAACTCCAAATGAGTACTGTAGTGGCACAAGTGAGCTTGGAAGCTTACTAGAATGAATAGAGGCCTGAAGAACAAATGCTGGAGAACACAGGTATACCTCTGTGAGAAGAGGGAAGGAGAGAGTCAGCAGTAACCAAGGGCACATGCAGAAATGAAAATGTCATATGGGGCATGAGAGAGAGACTGTCTGGTTACAGTGTTAGGTTTGTGGATAAAAGGAATCAAACACAGGGAAGACCCCCCCAATGACGGGTCTGAAGACCACAGCCAGCCTGTAAGATACCTTTGTGCAAACAGGAAGAAGGTATACCCCTTTTGTGCAGATGCCAGACTGAAGCCATATGGCCTGGAAAATGATGAACAACTGTGCGTTAAGAAACAGGAGCCTTTTATTTTGGTGGGTGCAGGCCAGAACTTGAGGGTGTGGCCTGGTGAGCAGAATGAGAGCCAAATTTCAAAATCCTTGTATGAGGTGCCTTGGTGCAATGGCTGGCCTGCACAACTGTATGGGATAGCCTGACCATGATAGTCCAGGTAAAATGTATATAGAACAAGAAGCACAACTGAAGCCAAATTCTTTTCACAGATCTTGACTTCTAGAGGTATTCAGCCTTTTTGTCAGTCCCCAAGCCTCACAGTTCACCTTCTCCTTCCAGAAACCCTCCCCATACTGTGAGCCTGTGTCCTGATAGGAGTCCCCTGAAAGCAGAGCCTAGCACACGAACTTAGACCAGGTAATTTACTTGGGAGGTATCTCAGGAAGGCAGAGTAAGGGGCAAGGAAAACTAGGCAAGGAAGCATGGAAAGGTACAGAACTGGGCCAGTTATAGCTGTAGACAAAATGAAGCTTGATCCATCTGGGGATCCTTTGAGGAAATATGTAGAATGCACATCAAAACGCACATCCTTTGCCTCTCCATAGGACTAGCAGCCGGGATATTTACTGACCACCACCATCCTCTGTCTCCCACTAGTTGGGAGGTGTCACTGGGAACACGACATTTCTCATACTTCCCAGCAGCATGTATGAGGTGAATGGAGTCCAGTGGATGTGGGATTCTGATGTCATGCACTCAACTGTCCACTGTGATGGCAGTGAAAGCAGGTGGGCTGAGGGGCTGGATGTGGGACCCAGAAAGTATCTGCCACAGCCTATCCTTAGGTCAGATCTTACACTGGGAATCCTTTCTTTATTTGAAGGGTTTCAGGAAGAGGAGCAGCCCCTCTAGCTCTCTTTCTTCCTGGAGAGGTCCAAAGTATTGGATGAAGATTTGGCCCTCTGCCATTCATTCCCTGGAGTAGTTAACATCAAGGGACCCTAAGAAAGGCAGCCTCCTATAAGAAATAAAGATGCAAGCATTGCATCCACAGTATGTGGGAGCCAGGCTGGGTACTCAGGGCCATTCCTTCCTGAACAGGGGAAGAAAAAGCCACCAGTGTGGCTCTGGCTCTTGGGTAACATTGAATTACTTACATTTAATATTTTATGGCAGGCATAATGATATAAGCTGCATTCTTCAGCATCCATTAGAAATGAAGGGACATTTATATTTCAGTGGCACCCAGCCATAGATTCCCATGCCTACTTTGCTGAGGCCATGCTGTGAATACAGGAAGCAGAGGAGAGGCCATCGATCAGAGCTTGGATCTTAACCCCATAAATATGACCTGAAGTGCTTATGCCTATAAAATCAAATGGAAGGGGCTGATTTTTTATAAGGTTGGGCAGAATTTCTTTTTCAATTCAAGGTGTCACATGTATTTATAAACCAAATCACAATCCTTTCAGGAAAGGACTGGAGATTGTTTTGTGAATACCAAGCACTAGGCACAGGAAACAGACGTAGAAGGAGTCACCTTAGCAGGGGGCTAGCCAGCAGACCACAGGACCAGCCATTCCTGCCATTCAAATGCCAGGTCATCAAGTCAAAGGATACAGAAGACACCTCACACCCATGAGGATGGACATGATCAAAACCCCTAAAACCCTGAAAATAATAAGCGCTGTGAGGATCTGGAGAAATTGGAGCCCTTATACACTGCTGGTAGGAATGTAAAATAGCGGAGCTCCTAATGAAAACAGGATGGAGGTTCCTCAAAAAATTAAAAATAGAATAACCATATGATCCAGCAATTCTACATCTGTGTATATATCAAAAATCATTGGAAGCAGGGACTCAAAGAGATATTTGTATATTCATGTTCACTGTGGTATTATTCACAATAACTGAAAAGGTAGAAGTAACCCCAAGTGTTTGTCAATATATGAATGAATTTTAAAAATGTGGTATATACATACAATGGAATGTTACTCAGCCTCAAAAAGGAAGGGGATTCTGACACACTCTACAACATCAATATACTTGGGGATGTTAATTGAAATAAGCCAATCACAAAAAACCAAAATTGTATTCTTACAGTTACATGAGGTACTTAGAGTAGTCAAATTCATAGATGCAGAAAGTAAAATAGTGGTCGCCAAAAGCTAGGGGAGGGGTAATGGGGATTACTGTTTAGTGGGTACGGTTCAGTTGGGGGAAAGTTATGGAGACAGGTAGTTGCACAACAGTGTGAACACACTTAATACCACCAAACTGTACACTTGAAAGTGATTAAAGATGGTAAATATTATGGTAGAAGTATTTTATCACAGTTAAAAATTTTTTTAAAAAGCACATAGACGATAGGGGGGCTTATAGATAAGCTATCCCAACCCACTGATAATACAAATGTGGGAAACTGAGGCCTGACAAGCAAAAGAATCTTGGTTAATACTTGGTTAACACACCAAATCGATGGGGAAACTAAGGCTAGAATTTAGAACCTGACTCTCAGTCCAGTGCTCTTTTGACAATCCATACTAACTCACTTCATTACAAAACATGGGGCAAAGTGTCGATGATAAATTTACACAACACTGCACATCAGCCACTGTTCTACGAGGAAAGAACTACTATTATTTTTACACATGAGGAAACCAAGGCAGGGAGCAGTTATACAACTTGTCCAAAGTCACCCAATGACAGATCTATGGTTTGAATCTAGACTGTATGCATCCAGAGTCTATTGTCTTAACCACTCTACTACACTGATTCTCATTGGGAGTCTCCATATTCCCATGTTTGTAGCCTCCCTGCCTACAAATGGCCTAAAGAAGTGCATGGTGAGGAAATGTCTCCATTCTCTTCTATGCATCATGTATGTGCTGAGCTCTGGAGAGTTTCTAGCTTAGGCAAAGTTGGGAAAAACAGAGGGGTGAGAACCATGGGAAGAGAGCTAGCATATGATCCCCTCAAATCTGATCCCTCCAAGTCCTAAACATTTATAATTCAATAAGAAGGAAGAGTGCTGTGTGCACTGGGAAGTTCAGTGAAACTTACCTGTGGAGGGTGGGTCTGCCTTGAGTTTTGACCAACCAAAAGGGCTTGGCTAAAGGAGATGGTCTATGTGCTAATGATCTGGTATACAGTCCCATCCTGGGAGCTCTGGGGAAGATCAAAACACACATCCCATTTACTTACTTTCCAGGATGCCAGGGAGTGTCTGTCTGCACTAGGTCTTTGGGACTCGGATCCAGCTCCTGAAACTTTTGAGCCTGGGTTAGAGAAGACTCCGAGTTTCTTTCTGAAGAAGTTACAACAGAAGCACGGCTAGTGCAGGTGGAATGAGTATCTGGAACAATTGATAAGCCATCTTCCTGCAATTCCCAAGTGCGTCTGGGACCCCCTTAGAGGGGGTCCCCCCTCTAAGTATCAGGGACCCCCTGAGATTGAAATACAATTAGCCTGAGGTGCTGGGATTCTGGGTACCCTACCCCCAAAGGTTTAGCTTTCAACTAGTTTACATGCTGTGTTTCTACATATAATTTCATCAAACAAATGGGTCTGTTACTAAATATGTCTGAAAACTACAGTATGAAATTAAATGCTACACTAAATTCTTCAGATCCCACAGTATTCTATGGATTGGCCAGTAAGGGGACATTAACTGAGTGCATGGTACTAATTTCAAGCAATTCCCACAAAATCACTAGGAGAGGAGTTTTACAGATATGCCCACTACGTAGATTAGGAGCCTGAGGTTCATGAAGGTGAAGTGACTTGCTCAAGATGGCTTGGCTGCTTGTCAGTGGAGTCAGTACCTGAACAGAGAGATGTCTGAACCAAAAGCCTATATTCTCTTGAGTACAGCAGATAGAATGTCCAGAGTTTTCCCCCAACTCCATTTCCTAAAGTTTGAGGGCAGGTATGAGGGAAGTCTGGCTAGCAGAACTCTGGAGACCTAAACCTCAAAATTGAGACCAGCAGCACATGGAACTTATATGAATACAAGGAGGCTCTTGGTCCTTCTTGTGCATGTAGGCACTTCAAAAAACTGGACCTGTTGCTGAGACAACAGGGGCAGGTTTTGAGTGTTTAGGGTCTCTGTTCCTCTGGAGGGCAGGATGATGGCTATGTTGTGAAGGGCAGCAGGGGCATTTGCTACCATAGTGGATGGTAGAACGTCAGACTTTGAATGACTGCTAGTAAGCCTGACTTCAATTCTAATGATTTAGTTTTCCCCATAAGAATGAACCCTGGTTCATTCAGGGTTGAGATAAGATAGACTCATCCTCTTTGTCTTCTGTGTGCTTTCTGACCTGTTTGCCAAGACCTACACACACAATCACTTTAATGAGGTGTTATTTTTTTTCTATGCAATAGGTAATCTTATTTGATTGCATTTTTAGTTATTCTTCAGGGCAAATACTTTGTAGTAATCTTAGCAATGACAGATAAAAGGTCATGTATAAAATATTTCACATCCAGAAAGCTGACCTTTCACTCTTAAAATTGATGTCTAAGGCAAATATGGTAGTAGAAAGCACTTTGGGAAAATGTCACACAAAATTGCACAGGTCAAATGAGAGAGTTTTGTCTGAAGGTACAGAGGTAGATTCTAATGAGGCCCTACTCTTTCATTCCTTTGGTCCCTCAAAATTGGTACAATGTCACAGTCTTTAGTTCCATGGGCAGCACCATGTCAAATCCTGCCTGGAGGAAGGGGTCATTTGGGCAGAAAGGGTGGTAGCTTTTGGAGACTTCTGTCTCTTAGACTCTTGAGTCCTCAAGAGGAATCTGGCTTGGAGGAGTAAGCCATGGCCTTGAATCTCCCCTTTGCCCTGTATTAACATGCAAATTTCCAACTTCCTTAACTAATCAGCAAGATTTTCTTCTGAAAATGACAAAAAGCGAGATGATAAAATGATACCGTGTATGGGAAATGCTCAACACATTCTTCCCATGGAAGAATCAGGTAATTCACAGCCTTGCATGACTATTAACACACAACAGGAATATGATCTCTGAAAACTTCAAGCACAACACATGCAGTGTTGTGAAGATCTTGCCTTTTGGGGCTTACCTCTTGCTTTGCCTCCCTGACTTCACACCCGTAAGACTTCCCTACCGACAGTGAGCTACTAATCCATGAGACACTCTGGCAGTGATGTAATTCTTTATCCCCCAGGGAGAAAGTATTGTTTTGGGACTCTTAAGAAACTAGGAACTATTCAAAGCTTAAAGGAGTAAAGCCATAATGGTGGTGTTTCAGGTACAGCACCTAGTAGTCGGGGAGAGTTTGGGTGTGATGCATGGAGGGTGGAATTCTGTTTATCACAGTGACTTAAAACGGTACTTCTTGCTCATGGCTAACACTTTGTTGTGGGGTAGGACTGCAAGGAAAAAAGCACACATTTGGCTTCTTAAAACTGATCCAGTATCAAGTTGTGGGTGACGTATTTGGGGAAGGGGGATTTTACCAGCAACCCACCCATGGTGAAGCAAACTTGATCATCCACTTACACCTCAAACTGGCCCCCGATAACCCGATCACATGCCTTCTGATCTACCTCATCAAACTTCTTGTCTTAGAGGAAGCTTTGGCTCTTTAATCTCTTTGTAATCAAAAGGAAATCTCTTCATAAGGATGCATGCCAACCCTCTTTAATTTGTCAGATGTTAACTGTGGCTTCCCAAGTTTTTAGCATTTTCTTGACACATCTGTAGTCCCAGAATTGTCCCCGAACCCACATTTCTGTGGTCACCACCACCATAGTATCACTCTTAGTTTATATAACCTGTTCTCAGGGCAAAGGGTCCTGCCCCTCATCTCTCATTTGTTTCGATAAACCTGTTAAAAATGCATGAGATGCAGATGCTTTCCCCACACGGTCTGAGTTGTTTTTTCACGTTGATTTGGATAGAAGAGAATGATAGAAATATACATGCAGATCCATGCCAAGAGGGCATTCTCTGTGGTCAGGCTAGCCACCATTATTTTTTAAATTTGTTTTTCTACCTGTTAAAAGACTAAACCTGTAAATCACAGAAATTCTGGAACATTGTAGGACAAGAAAAAGAGACCCAATCAATTGGGCTTGCACAACCCTCGAAAAATCTTTATCACATTTTGGTCTGGTTTCTTCTAGTACATTTTTTCTCTACACATAATTTTGTTTTGTACATATGTTTGCTTTCCTTAGTGGATATAATATGGTGTATATGTATTTTTATTTCACTCACTCAATATTTTACAGGATTTTTATATGTCATTTGTAACTCATTTTTAATACTGCATAATAAGAGGAGTATATTATTGATTATTCAACCATGCTTCTACTGTTAGACAAGCATTTCCTTTTCTTTCTTGCTTTTAGAAATTATACCATAGACAACTTTCTATGCAAAGGATAAATATTGCTAAACATGGCAATTTTTAAATAACTCAGTGCTTAACTGTTTTTAATGAGTAGTAACCCTTTAGTGATGCCTAATGAATGCATGCACTTTTCAAAGTAGTATGGGAGAGATCTGACAATTCAAGATCATGTCCCAACTCCTCAGCCTTATTTGAAGAGGTTCAGTGGATGTGTCCACCTTGTTGCCCCTCTGAGATCTACCCATTTTCCTTACTGGTGGATTTCCTCCTCTATGAATATCGGGAGGGCATCTTTCCTGGGCATGGCCTGTGAACATTGTTGGGTGGGAATGGGAGGGTGGACCATCTTGTGAGAAAAGCAAGAGACTGGTCTTAGGATGGAAGCCAACACTGACACCTGGGTCCTCGGTGAAGTCATTGAGTTGCCATTCAACTCATCCTGGTACCGGCCTTCTTATTACAAGATAAACCCATTTTCCTCCTTGTTTCTTCTGGTTGAGCTGGACTTGTTACTAATTGTAGCTGAAAGCATCCCAACTGATAAAGTAACACTAACACATTGCATAAAAATGGCAACCACTTATCAAGTTGTTACAGATTTTATCTTTAATTGAATAGCAATTGCCTTCACTGAACAAATGAAAAGACTGAATATCAGAGAATCTACGCAACTTTCCCCAGATCCATATATGTGTGTGAGTTGGGAGCCTCCCTGATACATAGATTAGAGAAGTGAAGAGTGTCAAGCATATTGTCCATGAGGGTGAAGAGATAGCGTCCTTAGTTTCTGCACCATTTGTTTAAATGTGCATATGTGGAGCTCACGGCTTTATGAAATCTTTTTACATCTATTAATTTATTTTTATCCGTCCCCAGATACCTTGTAGAAGAGGAAACAGATCCAAGAAATTTAAGTGCTACTGGTGTCAGAGACTGAACTTGAAGCTAGGTTCCCTGACCAGTGGTCCAGACCTCCTCCCAGTGGATCCCACTGCCAAGGAAGTCTGCTCAGGGAGAGAATCCCTCCCCATCCCTAGCGTTCTCCCCTAAGACCCCACCATTCAGTGTTTTTATTTTCTCTAGCACAGCATCTACCCTGTGGCGCTGTTAACAAATATAATACATCAGAGAAAGAATTACAAATATTTATGGCTGTAATAACTTCCCACCCAAAACAGGGGCATGGATCAGATCATTAAAGAAAATCAACCCAGCATGAGGTTACTTTTTATTTCTCTCTTAGATTTTAATTCAGAGAATGTATGTGATTTTCTGGGCATGAGAAACCCCTGCTTAGGGAAACAGGATTTTGCATGACAGGGATGCTGATTTGCAAATAGGGAGTTTATTTTTTGATTCACTGATTCCATCAGAATGTTGTAACCCAAAAATCCCTTGGAGGCTTTCCAAGTGGGACTCGGAGATTCTAGGAGTGATCATGTTCTCACGGATGTGTGAGTCTGAGATACATATGCCATCTCTCTCACAAACTCTGTGTCTTTTACTACCTGCATTTGGGCAAATCTTTCTTGCTAAATTATTTTTAAGGTTTGATAAGAAATACTAGCAAGAAGGTTCATTCTAAAAGACTCGTTTGCTCTAGAAAATGTCACCGACCACCCCCCTATCCTAAGAGGGTACGTGCTCCTCCCCTATCTTCCTTCAATCCCTGAGATAATCCTCACTTGGCATCTGTCATTCTGCATCCCATTCTTGTCCATGTTCTCCACCCAGCTCTGATGTCCTTTAAGCAGAAATTACCACACTTGGGTCTGTATCCTCAGCTCTAAGTGTGGGGCTTGCCATGGGAATAGGTACTCAATACATTATTTATTCAATGACTATGAAGCAGTACCCAGGAAGATGACTCAGTGTTAGTTTATATCTCAGTGTTCAGGTGGGGAAGTTGTAGCCAGATTATCTTAGCTCAGGGGAGACCAACAATATATAAGGCAGTCGAGGGGAAGCTCCCACATCTCCTAAGCACTGACATCCTATCCCTTTCTCTTCACTGACAAGGTCTCTCTTCTGGGAACTTAGCTTTTACTAAGGTTCTGCCCCTCAGAACAATCCCTGCCCCGGGGCTGTGCTTCTCCTGCAAGACTACAGTCTGGAGAGATGAAGCCACAGAGGGATAGAGGGTGA